TAGAAGTTAATATGAAAAGAATTGGCAGATTAAATTAATCCATCTAAGAACATTAATATATCTTTATTTATTCAGATCAACTTCTATCTTTTGTTAGAGGTTTAAAATGTTTTTCTCCATAGGAAGGTTATATATTTTGATTAAGTTATTTCTTAACCTCATTATGCTGTGGTTATCGTTCATGGTATCTCTTTTGACTATATTGTTTAGTTTTTATTGGTGTAGAGAAATGCTGCGAAGTTTTGTATGTTGAATTTACAAAAGATTACAAAACAAAAACACTGGCTATTTGCAAAGTTAATAAGATAAATAGATTACTAGAAATATAATTAAAAATGAGTAAAAGCAGAAAAGTAAAATATAAAACAAACTTGACAAAATAGCCTAGCTGGTGTGGGTCAGTGGTTGAACTTTGACCCAGGAACCAAGAGGTCAAGGTTCAATTCCCAGCCAAGACACATACCCAGGTTTGGGCTTGATTCCCAGTGGGGGCATGTAGGAGGCAGCCAATCAATAATGTTTCTCTCTCATCAATGTTTCTACCTCTATCTCAGTCCCTTCCTCTCGCTCTAAAATCAGTAAAAACATATTTAAAAAAAAAAAAAAAAAGAACCACAGATTCAATAATACAGATAGGGTAAATAATTATTAAAATAATGTAGTTTTGTAACAGCTGTATATTTCTAAATATAAATATCAAAATTAGCATAAGAAGATAGAGAAAATATGAATTAGACAATAAGTATTTTTAAACCATTGAAATATTAAATACTCCTCTCCCCAAAGAACTCCAGGCTCAAATGGTTTACAGATATCTCCCAAACTTCCAAGAAACAGTAAGTTCCTATTTTATCCAGATTATTGCAAAAACTGGAAAGAATAAAAGCTGGGGGCACAGCTTATTTAACAAGGCTAAAGCAATCTTGCTGCTAAGCAAGGTAAAGACTACACAAGAACAGAAAAGTACAGGCTCATTATCTTATGCATGTTATCCTAGGTATGCAAAGATAGCTCAGTATCAGAAGGAAGTATGACTGTGTGCCAATTAAACATTATTTATGGATGCCTAAAATTTGAATTTTATACAATCTTCATTTATCATGAAATAGTATTCTTTGATTTTTTTTCAACTGTTTATAAGTATAGAAATCATCTTTAGCTTTCATGCTGTACAAATACAGTGGTGGGTCAGATTTGACCTGCAGAGTATAGTTTGCCAAATCCCTGATCTAACTACAACAGTGATAGAATCAACATACTAGTAAAACTAAGTTTGCCTTAACCTTTATATTTGCTTTCTCTTAGGAAATATGAGGAGGAAATTAAATCCCTTTTCTTAGTATACCCCTGCAGGCACGTCGTATTGCTGTATATTGACACCAACTCAGCCATATTGCTTTCTCCACCAGTCTTCACTAGCCCCTTAATACTTTCGGGATCTTCTCTTATTCCCAATTCATCCCTTCTGCCATTGATCATATTGGAAATGCCTAACACATATCATTTATCCCAAACACCCTATCCCACTTCTGTCTTCTTCATTCTCACATAGTTTAGCCTCATATTTCACCAAGAAAATAATTTTCATAATGTTTGCAATTTTTTAGCTGACTATTGTTCAACAAAATATATCTTAAAGTGAATGAAAACTAAAGCACAAATTGGGGGAAATATTTGTGATCATATATAAATATGTAAGATTAATATCCAAACTATATACTTTTAAACCCTATTAATTTCATAAGAAAAAGATGACCCAGTTGCAAAATAGACAAAATATTTGATAAGCATTTTATAGATGTAGAAACTTTAATTGCTAGTAATGTGAAAACAATATCGGACACATCAGGAAAATGCAAATTAATCACAGAGATAACGCTTCTCATCACCAGGTTGACAAAATTTTAAAAAACAGAAGATAAATATATGGATTTGTAACTGGAATATACATATTTTGGCACAACTACTTTGGAAAATAATTTGGCATTTTCTAGAGAAACTAGTGATTACATGTGTGTGCTAGGTGTTACATGAAAGGATGTTCATAGAAGCAGTCGCTGTGCTTTGGGCCATAATTAAGTAAAATAAGAGTGACTTGGACACAAGCATCATGATACTACAACAATGGATTTGATAACTGAGAAGGCCACTTGAATGGCTGATGTCCAGAGAGCACCTGCAGTGGAGAGATGCTAGACAAGGGAGATTTCCACGTCTGGGCAGAACAGCAGGAGATCTCATCACACTGCTCAAATGGGCATATAGTTTAACCTATGAATTGTTTATTTCTGGAATTTTCCATTTAATATTTTCAGGCCATAATTGACCACAACAAAGAAAGAGAAAACATAAAACAATATGTATTTTTTTTACTAGTACATATATATAGTTGTATGTGTATGCAGTAGCTGAAACCATAGCAAGTGAAACTGTAGATAACGGGAACTTATGTATACATGACATATAACTGTTTTCATCATGTGAAACTTAAAACATTATGGATGAGTCAGGGGTCTCTTTTGAGTAGCATTCCTAAACCAGTACTCTTCTCAAATGTAATCCTGTTTTCATGTACATGTGTGCCTACATGCATACACATGCATCTATAATAATAAAAGAGTAATATGCTAATTAAACCAGATGTCCTTTTGGACAAAGCTGGGCCAAAGGGAAGCCCAGGTTCTGGGTGCCTGCTGGAGGCTGGAGGGAAGCCAGTCCAGGCCCTGGGTGCCAGAGGGAAGCCAGTGTTGGCAGCTGGGGAAAGGAAGGCCTACTATTGCATGAATTTCATGCATCAGCCCCCTAGTATGAATATATGTACAAGTAAAGAAAATATATTGTTTTATGTTTTATCTATATTTATTGTATAAATTGTATGTTTTAAGGTTTTTCTTTGTCAATTCATACAGATTTACATTTTTCTTCTGAATAGATTTTTCTGTCAAATAATTAAAATTTGGTTTCCTCAAATAATTTATTTCTGTTCTTATCTACACTAATAAAGAGAAACATGCAAATTGACCATACCTCTGCTATACCCACAAGCCACACCCATCATCCAATCAGGAGCAGCTATGCAAATTAAGCCAACCAAGATGGCTGCAGCCACGGAGTGAGCAGGAGGCATGGGTTTCCCCGGCAATGGAGGAAGCCAAGCTTCCTGCCCACTCTGGTTGGCCCTGGCCTCCGCTCAAAGCTATAAAGTTTCAATTATAGAAGATAAATAAATCCCAACAGAAATGGCTGCAGCCATGGAGCTAGAGAGAGCAGGAGGCTTGTGTTGCCACTGGCAATGGAGGAAGCCAAGCTTTCCTGTCCTGCCCTGGCCTCTGCTCAAGGCTACAAAGTTTCAATTATAGAAGATAAATAAATCGCAGATAATGGGCCTCCACTTGAGGCCCCGGGGGTGGGGGGTGGGGGGGCGTGGCTAGCCTGCAAACCACAACAGGCCCCAAGGGAACCCCCACCCTAATTCAGGACACCCTTCAGGGCAAACCAATTGGCCCCCACCTGTGTACCAGGCCTCTATCCTATCTAATAAAAAAGTAGTATGCAAATTGACTTTCTCTCCAACACACAAGATTACTGCCCCCAAGTGGTCAAAGATGGCTGCCCCAATGTGGACACAAGATGGCCGTCACAAGATGGTCATCAGGGAAGGGCAGTTGGGAGGGATCAGGCTTGCAAGGGAGGGCAGTGTGGGTGATCAGACCAACAGGGGAGGGCAGTGGGGAGGGACTAAGCCTATAAGGGAGGGCAGTTGGGAGCTATCAAGCCTCCAGGGGAAGGCAGTTAGGGGTGACCAGGCTGGCAGAGGAGGGAAGTTGGGGGCGACTGGGCCTGCAGGAAAGGGCAGTTGCGGTGGGGGGAGACCCAGGCCTGCAGGGGAGGGCAGTTGGGGGTGACCAGGCCTGCAGAGTAGGGCAGTTAGGGGCAATCAGGCTGTCAGGGGAGTGGTTAATGGTTGATTAGGCTGGCAGGCAGAAGCAATTAGGGGCAATCAGGAAGGCAGGCAGGTGAACAGTTGGGAGCCAGCAGTCCTGGATTGTGAGAGGGGTCCCAGATTGGAGAGGGTGCAGGCTGGGCTGAGGGACACACCTCCCTGTGCACAAATTCATGCACCGAGCCTCTAGTTTCTATATATTTGACCATTCTAGGATATGTAGTTAGCTTTTTCTAGAAAAATAGTTTTAAGGCCATCTCAATCTATTAGATGGCATTCTATAATTTAAATATTTATTTATGATTTCCAAATGTGCTTTTAAAAATCATCCACTTAGATACATTATTATATATGCTGTGTTAATAAGGGCAAGTGTTGAATCAGATGGATGTGAGGCTTCTTGTAATGGTGATTCTCTCATTCTTGGAAGTGCACATTATCTAAAAATCTTTTCTGAAACGTCAAGTTCATCTTCTATTTTTATTAGATATCACCTAGTTGTCTTCAAATAACCTTAATAAATAATTTTATATGCTGGATTGTAGAACAAAATAGTCAAATATCCTGATATTTTATGATATTTAAGAATTAATTTATTTACTGAAATAAAATGATTTATATTAAAATGGATAATTTAGAAGCTACATTAAATTGTGTAGTTTTTGTATTATTATTTATAATTGTCAGTGTATTGTCATCTATATTTATAAAATGCTGATGAATTATGGCCAGTTCAATGCCCAGATGAGAGATTATGTACAATAATAAGTTATTTATTTTTATGAACATATTTTGTGTCAAGCAACCTGTAGCATAAATATATATTTTGTGTTGAATAGAAAAGCCTGTTTTTAAGTTAAGTGGGTAAATGTGGTATGATAAAGTGTAACTTTTACCAATCACATGGAAATTCCTTCATAGAAAATTTATAAAATGAGAATGATCAATGACTAACTCAGTTTTGATGAAATGAAAAGAGATCTTAAGTTAAAGTCATGCAATGGGTTCTAAATGAATGAATGTGCCCTTTTATTTCTCTCCCTCCTGTCTCATCCAGGTGCAGCAGTAGCAGGCATTTACCGAGTAGCAGGGAAGAACATGGCCCCTTTGGAAGCCCTGGTGTGGGGCGTAGGACAGACTGTATTGACATTGATCATCTCCTTTTCAAGGATCCTCGCCACACTTTGAGGTTTCTGTGGAAATGTCTGATCTTACATAAGGAAACAGATGTACAGATTCTCTGAAAATGGCATTGTTAGCAAGTGGGAATTAAATTATACAGGAATCCTGGAAGGAGCAGGTCCCAGTTTAAGGCCTAGAGCTGTGTGGAAAGATTGCCCTCTGGTGTTCAAGTGATTGCACTACCGCACTGCACCTTACGTGCCTCCATCCCAGGCAAGGCGAATTACACTATGAGAAGCTACAAGAAAAGGCACCTTGTTTAGCTGCCAATCAGGTTAACATTGGTGTTGAATCATTGTTTTTAACAGTGTTGTGTTTAAGTTACAGGGACATTTTGAAGAATTGATATATGTGCCAAACTCTTCTTTTTTTATAAATTGGTCATGTGACAGTTTGCAAGTGTAGATGTAGATGAGACAAGTGCTGTGAACATGTTTGACATGAATTCAGGTCATGTAGTGAGACTTTGTAACTCTAAATCCTGTGTGAGTGCCGAATACTGAATTGTTTACTAGGAGATAAATTATTTTATTTTTAATGTTGAACTTTTCTGGGATTTAGGGCTTTAATATGGTTAGGCATTATTGTTATTTAATTTATGTGGAAAGTAATGTTAATGGAAAACTAGATAAACTCTTTTAAGGACTCAAAGTAGATCTATAGGGTGCATCCTTTTCATGAACATAAATAATACTTTGAATAGTTTCCATCATACATAAATGTTCTATTGATATGAATTAAAAAACTTTATGGGTAACACATTGATTGTAGTTTGTGTCATAAAAATATTATTTGAAAATGTTCTTATAAATTTTGTTAGAAAACAAGTCTGAAGTGCATGTTGCATTCTTTGACCCTCTAAAGAAAGTTTTGCCCTGTGTCTCATGGAGAAAACATCATAACTGCTCCTCAGTGGGGTTCTACGACTTGTTGCCTATGTCTTGATTTTTGACAAAGTGTAAGCAGTCTTTAAGTCTCGAGTATTATCTCTCTTTAAAGAGTGGCCTAAATTAGGCTGTTAAAAAGCCTCATTTGTAGTTAAGTAATAGTAAGTTATCTGGGAAGATTCATAAACTATCTTACTTTGGATAAGTGGTAATGAAATTTCACTAAATAAGAATTGAGGAATTTAGTAAATCTGGCAGTCCATCTCAGTGTATTAAAACAGTACTGAAATACATTTGAGTGATTCATTTAGTTGTTCAGTTCTTGATTTATGCTGTTATTTAAGTTATTAGAATGTGATGGCATTTATTGGAAATGAAAAAGTCCTTAGTATAAAATATTTTAAGAGATTTTGGCAAAATAACTTGCTTTTAAGACTACAGGAAGTAAGGGAAACAGAACCTGCTTGAACTTTTCTCCTACTGACATTTTTAAAAACCAGGTACAATTATAAATGTTCTCACTCAAAGGAGAGCCATTGTAGAGAATGCGAAGTGAAGGGCAGTCCAGGAAAACACTCTGTGCTCTAGCCTCACTGCTTTAGAACCTGGCTGAGAAATGAGTAGGTTTCCATTAAGTCCCATTCAAATATAAGGCCTTTGCTTAAACACGCCACTTTTCCTTCACCAAAAACAAACAAACAAAAAAAACATATTGAGGAGTTGGTGGGAGAGGGGGAGCTACTTTTACCTGTAGGAAAGCCAATTTGGGAATTTTCTAATTCTGTGGCTTGGAAATTTTTAAAAAAACAACAATTAGCATTTATGCACTTAGAGATCTTTGAAGTGAATCTTAAAATTGATTTAAATATGTATAACCCTGAAATTAATTTCATTGTTCTTTATATTTTTGATGTTTTCCAAATTAAATTTAGGCATAAGTTTTCCTAATCAATTTGATTTCTCCTTTTCTGTTAGTTTTGAATTAATTGTTCTTCCTTTAGTTTGGCTATTCTGTCAATAATTTAAAGTGTTTGTATTCTTTAAGATGAATTACCAATAACATATTGAAGATGTGCAAAATGAAAATTTTTAACATATAGTTATGTTGTGATTTAAGAAAGTTACCATGGTGAGATAATATGGAGCATATGGTTCAGAATCAAAAATTAACCTGAAAATAACTTGGTACATAAATATGTAACTGTGTGGACCAAAGAGATTTAAAATCCCATTTTTACTCTTAGAATGGAAGTATAATTTGATTATTAATAATTAGTTTGTAGAGTGTCCTAATCTCATTATGAAGTTGCTTTATGATGTGTGTGTTTGTGTGTGTGTGTGTTTGTATGTGTGTTTGTACTCTTAACTTGTAGGGGGATTTTTATTTTGTTTTGTTTTTTGCTGTTTTCAACTCTTTTCATTGGGATTTGTGCAACTGTCACTCTTTTGATGTTTTGAAATATAGTTGAATGGTATGCATTGATGAAATTGTCTTAATAGATATTTCTGTGTTGAGATTTTTTAAAAGTGGTTTTCCTACAGATACAAAAAACATGTAATGATATATATCCACGTACACCTCTGTATTATTATATATGTCCACACAAAGCTGCCAAGCTGCCATGTATGAACACAGTCTAGTTGGAAAGCTTCTGTTCCAGGAACATATCCATGCTCTAGTGTAGGGGTGTCGAACTCAATCAGAGAAGGGGCCAAAATCTAAAATCCAGCCTAAATCGCGGGCCGAATGGTTTACTGAACAGTCATAAACTGTAATTGTGATGGAAACGCAGCGGAGTGCAGTGATGACAGCGCGGTGCGGGCCACAATGCAAGGCCTGGCGGGACGGATTTGGCCTGCGGGCCTTGTGTTTGACACATGTGCTCTAGTGGATAGTTTGTTCAGTTGAATGATCTTTTAAATGGGTTTGAGGATGTTTGAGATTTTTTAATTTGGGGAGATTTTTCTTGGTTTAATAGTGCTGGAGACCCTTGTTTTTGATATGATAAAAGTTCTTACTATTGTATCTGCGTTACACCTCCTTAAAATGTGTATGTGATTTAGCAATAAGCTCTCTTTGATTAAAGTAGGAAGGACAGAGGAAAGCATCTGCAGTTTATACATCTTTATTTTTTTAATGTGTAGTAAAGTATTGCTGATAATGAAATCAGTTCCCCAAAGAAGAGACTCTTATATGCCCAAACTGGTTAACATGCTGGTTAGAAATGCCCATAGGCCAGAGTTCAGTCAGAGGACCTCATCTATACTATAAAAAATGCTGAAAACCTTTAAATGAAGGAGGTGCAAATAATCTGCCCACAGGATGATTCCATGGGTTGTCTAGAATAAGGAAAGTCCTAAATGATGGCTATATTCAGTGCTTGCAGCTTAATTATTCTTACTGTAGACCTCAGTTTTACCAAACAGTGTTACAGTTTGTTACCCAATGTACTAAGTGTTTGCAACATTTAGTATTTCCTCTCCCCTAAAAAGTGTAATGGTTTAATTTTGCTTTAAGTAAGAAATAAAGAAACGAGCTGCCCTGTATTTCATGCATTTGTGATGTAAGCACAGGGGTAATTTAAAATCAAAGAACATTGTTGGAAAAAGTCTTTAGAGAACTTTAATTAAGGTGAGGAGAGTGGGGCTGACATGTTAACATGCCCAAGCAGACACTTACACACCAACTAATTCAATTGTTTAAATATTTTTGATGGACCTACTATGTATGTACAAAGCTGTATGGAGCATTTTCTATCGGAAGTACTAGGATGTCTAAGATAGGATTCCTGCCCTTGAGTTCACCAAAAGCTAAAAGACCAGAACAACATCTTGCTTCCTGATTCTAGTTTAGAGTTCAAGTCTTTTTTCTCAACCCCACCACCCTAAATTCTGATTTTCCCAGTTTATCCACAAAGTGGAGTTTCAGTACCTGAGTTACCATCATTGTGACAGAGTGATGAGAATACTAGACTGTAAACCAGAGACATAAATGTGAACCCAGGACCTGTTGCTTATCAACTTTTTGTTCATGAATGGCAAAGCAGTAAATGTTTGACAGTAAATGATAGTCAGTAGAATTTTTTGAATTAATTTTGCAGTGCTATTTAATAATGTTGTTTCATAAAATACATTTGTTTTCTTTCATTTCCACATTTTGTCCACATGTATTTTTAAAAGGAAAATTAAAATAACCCTTACAATCTTGCTTCCTTTACCTCCTCTTTACCTCTTTATTTTTAAGATCAGCAGATACTTATCTAGGAGCATGTTAGGGGTTGGTGGTGGTAGAATGGCCAGAGCAAGCAGGATTAAATTACACATTGTGTTTACCACTAGTTAAGACAGAAAAAGTTAGGGGTAGCCCATATTTACTCCTTTACCTTATCCTGCTACTTTCCTTGCATTCATTCAATCAGCATTCATTGGATCTCTACTGCACGCAACTTACCGTGTGTTTAAGGGATGAAGTGTCTCCTCTTCTGCTCCATGGGTGTTGGCTTCACAGCGCAGTGCAAGGTCTATAGGGAAACAAAAGAGTGTCTACCAAGTCCTTCCTTCATGGACCAAGGTGCTTCAGCTACTGTTCATTTGCTTTTACTTAAAAAAAAAATAGTGTTATTTTATATTTAAGTCCATTTTACAATTCAAGAAGTAACAAGATGCTAAGGCTATTTTCTTAAACTATTTCACTTTTGCTATTACAATTATTTTCTCTCAGAAAATCTTATCGGAACCTCTTCAAAGAGTTGTTACTTGTTTTAAGATATGAAGAATGTTGAAAGTTATTGAAGAAACCCAAGTAGTCCTAGATTGCAGAGAATTTTGACAATACTTGAGTAACTGGGTAAATTTCTGCTTCTTTTCATAATCAAAGTGAGACTCTCAGTGGTTAAAATTGACTACTATTGAGGTAGTTGATTTTAATTTCCCTAAAGTATCATTCCTTTTTGTAACATCTTAGAGAGAGACTCTCCAGGATAAAAAGGACATTACTTAGTTTAAAATGATGAAAACTTTCAAACATGTGATAGCATTTTGTAGCAGAGGGAAGTTTAAAGATAGGAAGACACATTGGAGGGGTGACACCGGAACAAAGGCATATCATGACTACTCAACATTCTGTGAACAATTCCCCGTGTTAAGAATGTAAACTACACTGTATGCATATGTGTCCTGCTCCAGAATGTAGGGTTTCTTTACCTGTGAGACAACTTCCACAAAGCGTTGGAATCATTATTACTTGTGTGTGTGTGTGGTGCTGGTAGGTTTGCCCTTCTAACTTAAGGATCTCTGTTCTGTGTAGGAATACAGTGCTTTTGAGGTTGCTGAATAAATTATCTAAAAATGTTAAAAAATGTATCTGAATTTGTTTTAGAGGAAGTAGTGCTTAATATATAAAGTATTTTCAGTAAATATGCAGATATACCAGTTAGTACTTTATTAAATTAGTGGGAACACCCAAATTTCTGAGTGAACTGAACTGTGAACTGTAACCACCTCTTCCCCTGTGTTTAGAGGGCTCATCTTCACATTCTTTACATTCATTTCACAAATGTTGAAGCTGTTTATCATAATCCTTTCTTGATTTGAGAACCAATTTAGCAATTTCTTAAAAATCCCCTCCCTCCACACAGCTGTCATATGTTGTGGTTTAAACACATGTACAGTTTGTTAATAGAATCAGAAGTGCTAGTTTTGAAGAGAATGTGCTAGATACTAAAGAGACAAATAAATACTAAGGATTGGAGTCAAGAGAGCATGAACCTTCAACATATTTTTTTTTTAGATTCTATAGTGCACCCTTATGCATTTTCCTGCAGTAGTAACATGACTGCCCCCTTTTTAGGAATGCAATTAGATATGCAACTAAAACTGGAAAGCAGTGTAACATAAGTAAATATAAAGAGGAGCTAAAATGCATAATTACCATAACAGGAACACCTGTGCTCCAAAATCATTATATATTGGCAAATTCTAAAAAGCATCATTTTTTAGAGCCTTGTATAAATGAATGTTGATAGTATTACTGATGATGAAAAGTTTCCTTTGTTTCTAAATTAGTGTATTTGCACAGCATCACTAAGTATATTTGGGAAGGAACACTAAAGTTTCTCCATAGAAAACAAAATAGAGGCACTTATTTGAATAGTAATAAGAATGATTTACTTTGAATAATGGATTAGTTGATAGTGTAATTGTTGACACTTTCTTAGTATTTGTGATATTGGATGCATTTACGATGGAGGAATTTTTGTATATCCTGGCATTCTACACACACACACACACACACACACACACACACAAGCTCTACACATTTAGTTGAACAATATGAAATCCCACAGTATATTTCATTTTAGTCTTATAACTTGGTAAAATTCATATGATTCTACCATAAAGTATTAACTCTTGACTCTAGTCATTCTGTGATTAGAGAATCAATTTTATCTTGAAGTTAACCAACTAAAATGTATTTATTTGAAGATCAAAAATATTGTTTACCTGATAGGTATTAAAAGACTCTCTTTCAAATTGTGTTAACTCTCACAGACTACTGATGAATCGTTTAGTAAACCACAGTACCATTTTTAAGGCTAAATGATGTCTCAGTGCCTTTTAAGTTAAGATACTTTTTCAAAGTGAATCTAGTGAGGTTCTGGATTGGTACAGCTGTTAATGGGGATTCAGCGTTAAGGACAGTGTAATAGAATCACCTGTGGTTTATTAAAAATCAGTTATTTTGCTATTGACGATGACAGATAATGACTTTCATTACATTTTCATGATGTGGTATTTGTCTCTCTTTTTTAAAAAGTAAGTTTGAAATGGGGAAAAATGTAGTCAAGACAAAAGTGGTATTTTAAAATTTAATTTTCTTGTAAACTAGAGATTCTAGTATAAATAGTGTTAGTTTTATATTGTAGTACTAGGGCAGACATTTTATGTAACCTTTAGAAATATGTTTACCATCAGGGATTTATTTTTGCTATCCAAATACTTAATGTACTGTGAAGCTTAAAGACAGGAGGAATAAATGCTGGAGGGGTAATGCACAAAAACAAAGGCATATCTGATGAAGTACCCTATGTTATGTGAATACAATTTCCCCTTCTGTTAAGACTATAAACTACACTGTATGAATATGTGTACTGCATGTTTACATAATATGGCTTAATTTTGAAGGATTATTTAAAAAAAACTATGTTTATGTATAATACCTAACAGTCTGTAAATATTGTATACTATTGATTTTTAATTTTCTATAAGGAATTTTTTAATTTCCCAATTCATGTACAAATCTCATTGTATATATAGCATAATTTCCTAGAGAACACAAGTTTTGCAGTGAATTTTAATTATTTTAATTGGTAAGCATCAGGTTAGCCTTAGCGATGTTAATTTTTGTTTTAAATTATTTTTACTGCTTATTTTCTTCAAAGGGCAGCAATAAACATATGCAAGTTCTGTTTGATTATAGACAGTTGATCTACAAAGATGAGATCTAGGTTCCAGTTCCTGGCTTTTAAAAACAGATGCACAATTAATATCATCCACTGTTTAATCACAGGACCATTTCTGAGGTCCATGTGTTTCTCCTCTTTGTAACATACAGGGTGATTCTACTGATATTCACAAAACAACTGTTAAAAGTCAATCCAGCACTTAAAGGTCATAACACAGAATTTATTGGATTAAAAATTTGTAATATACAGTATTTTAATAAAGTTTCTGTATTCTATTTCATGCAGTTATATATAAATAAATCTGTCTTTAAAAGCTTTATGGGATGTGTGATTCTTGATAACATCTTTTCAGTTTATTTTCTATAAAATCCAATGTTCTCTCTCACCCTTTTGCCAGTTTTTCTGAGGCAGTTTTACATAGGGCTTTTGGGGGTAGTGCTGAAATGTAATTAAGAAATCTGAAAAACACACTTGGCCTAGTTTATAGTTTTACCTGGGACCAGTCCCAGGCCACATAAGCATCCACTTCTAAGAATTATTGTTTTAAAAAGCATACTATCGCCCTAACCAGTTTGGCTCAATGGATAGAGTGTCAGCCCTCAGACTAAATAAAGGGTCCTGGGTTTGAATCTGGTTCAGGGCACATACCTTGGCTGCAATTTCCCCAGCTCTGGTTGAGGTGTGTGTAGGAGGCAGCCAATCGAGTCTCACATCGATGTTTCCCTCTCCCTTCCACTCTGTCTAAAAATTAATTGGAAAAATATATTCGGGTGAAGATTAACAAAAAATAAAATAATTAGAAAGCATACTATCACTTTTAATAATAAATGACTACCGTTTTTCAAATGCTTAGACACTTACTGTAATCCTTCAGGTTAAGAGTTGTATCCCACTTTACAGGTGAAGAATTTGAGGTTCAGAGAAGATGAAAACTTCTCAAGGTCACATAGGCAATAATGCTTAGCTGACGTTTTCTTACTTGTGTTTTCCCCCACTAAGGTATGTAAGGGATTTCAAAGGAGTATTCTGGGAACTCTTACTGTAATGAGAGGAGAGGGAGTTAAGGGGATTTGAAAATGATCAACTCAAGATTTGTATTGTCAAATTTATGCATAGTTTAAATTTTTGTTAGGTATATTTCTAAGGGATGGTACTAAGTACTCAATGAGGCTTAGCTGTTCTCCTGTCTGAAAAAAGAGAGGGGCTGATTGTAAGCGATACAGCCTTGCTGGAATAAAGACTAGCTTAACTTTTAAAACTGGGCAGGCAAAATGGAAGTGGATGTGCATATATATTGACAGTTTATATAGTTACTAAATTGAGATATATTTCCTTTTTTTCAAGGTAACTTTCAACTATAGAATTATAAAATTATTAAACATATTTTCTTTCTGACTATGAGTCTGAAAAAGTTCTTGAACAAAATATAAATCTTGATATTAAAAAATATTTTTTAAAATTTTGATTCTACCACCTTTGGCTATTGAAGTAATATTTTTATAATTTTTTGTAATAGGTGATCTGAGTATTTTCACATTTACTGAACATCGAAAAAATGCATCTGATTCCAGATTTAGTACCATCTATATAGACAAGGCCAGTATGAAAGGTAATCTAGAAGAAAGATGCTAAGATTTCATACTGAGCTTTCTGATGCAGAATGAGTCCTGGTCATACTTAATGAATATATAATACTTATGTTATCTCTGTTTAACTCAGTTGAACTGATAATTCATAAAATGTTACCTAAAATCCTATATAATAAAAGCTTAATGTGCTAAATGTCCAGTCATCTGGTCATCTGGTCAACCAAAGTGTAATATGCTAATGATATGCTAAGGCCACTCAACCACTTGCTATGACATGCACTGACCACCAGGGGGCAGATGCTCTGACCGGTAGGTTAGCTTGCTGCTGGGGTCCAGCTGATTGGGACTGAGTGAGACAGGCCGGACATTCCCTGGAGCCCTCTCACGCTCCCTCCCCAGCTGGCCCACCTCTCTCATCCATTGTGCACTGGTGGGATTCCTTGGTCAGGCCTGTGCTCTCTTGCAATCTGGGACTGCTCGGGGTATGTCGAAGAGCTGGTTTCTGCCTGATCCCACAGGCCAGGCCAAGGGACCAATGATGCACAAATTCATGCAACAGGTCTCTGGTTAGGATATAAAGAAAAGTAAACAGGACCTCTGGCAATTCTCTGAAGAGTAGAATTTGGGTTCACCTCCAGCTTCCAAAGGAATTTTAACAGAAGACTCCATCCCATTCCACTGTTCCTATTATATCCCCTTAAGTTCCCATTGAATTTTTTATCACACATTTTTCTTTTGCCCAATTTTATGAATATTCAGGTTAGACTGTTTTTTGCAAAATAGAATTGCATCAAGTGATTTTCTTGCAAAGCAAGAGTTTCATCACTAGATGGTGCAATGGTTCTATTTTTATTTTTCCTCTTTTTTTTTTTTTTTTTTTTTCCTCTTGGACACTTACCTAAGAACACATATTAACTTAGTCTGTACTTTTGTCCATTCTTAATTAACATTAACTTTTGATGGGACAACATCAATTGTACTTCATACCCATAGTTGCATTTAATGTTATCTTTTTCCGATAAAAGTACATGAGAAAATTAAGAAAAAAGTCAAAAGTGTCTACAAGTTATCACTAACAAATTTAACTTTCCTCAAAGAATGTTAAAATATGGTATTCAAGGTTTATTTACAAATCAGAAAATTACATTTATTTTGATTTATAATAAAGTTATTTACTAATCTGGATCTTGATTTATGTGTTTTCCTTAAATCTGTCATTTTAACTCTTAATGCATAATGTTTGTGTTTTTAAAAAAAATCTAATTTAATAGTTTATACTTTAGTGATATTTAGTTACATAGTTGGCCAACTGGTTGGGACAAAGGGAATACACCAATATAACACAATCCTTGTATTGTGAGACTTGGTTTTAAGTTCTTGCTCTGCCATTTAAAGTTTGAACTTGGCCAACTTATTTTACGCCCATGATTGTCAGTTTTCCTCATTTGTACAGAGGGATAATATATCCTGGTGTATGCAGTGGGAGCTCAGCAAATCCTCTATTTTATCTGATTGGCCTCTTGTGCCTGTGTGTACATAGAAGGATGGTGTAGTTCTGGATTGCTGTACATTTTGATATGCGTCTAGATAACTCTGTTTCAAAGTCAGCCGGATTCCATTTCCACACAGGTCACAGTGCATTTTCAGAGAGGACAGTTTCAGGTTTAAACTATCCATTGAATTGTATGCTGCGCTGGCCTCAAAGTCTGCGGAGGGGATTTTTTACAAACAGACCTCAGTGGAACAGAGCCTGGCTAGAAAACAGAACAAACTTGCTCAGCTAGCAAATTCCTTGCATTCTCTTACCCTAATATGTACAAAAGGAGGAAGCCAAAGCAGCCAACATAAATTAAATCCCCTGAAAGATGGCCATGACTCCCTGTCAGCGGTGCACAGTCACCAACCAGCTCAGATCCTGTTGCAAGTGGGCTTCTCAACTTTGTTTATTGCTCTGCAGAAAGCCTATGTTTCACACTTAAAGATGTGTTTCTGCTTTTTTCATCTCCAGAGTTTTTGACCTTAAAAGCACACATCTCACTCCACAGGATGGTCTGTGGCAGCCGTGGAGACAAACATGCCCATAGACTCTAGGTCTTAAAGAAATCAGGACTGAGTTTAAGAGATTAGAGACAAGGACCAGATTTTCATACACCTGTCCTGTTCCTTTGCTTATTTTTTGTGGTAATAGGTGTTGGTGGGTGACTTTAAAATACAATAAGACACGTGTTATCTCTGATATGGAAAATAGGAGACCGTAGAGATGGCTGGGAGGTGTAGGGCTGAAGGAACAACAATAATAAGAGACTTCAGATTTGAAAGTCCCGTGTTTGTTCACTGAGTGGGTCTTCTCTTAAATGTAGATTGAAACTTTTAGTTGGATAGTTTCAGTATAGGTCTGTTATGTTTGTATATTCCTGGGCCAGGGCCAGTGTGGCATCAAAAACTTGACACTTGCCAAACCCACTCTTGCTTTCAGATTTCTTGCTTGAGCTTATTTAACTTTTGCAAGATGAATGAAAAGGAATGAGAATTTCAAATCTCAACCAAAACTTCTGGGTTTTTTAAATTAGTATTTTTAGGAAATATGCAAAGCTTGTATTACTGATAGGGTCATGCTTAAAACAATGTTTATATTGAACTTTCACTCTCAAACCATTTTCACCTCTATTGTCTCATTTTATCCTCACAATTTGTACTTGTTTGGGGGAAAGATGTCCATTTTTTCTCCCTTTAAAAATCAAAGCCACTTACCTGGCTAACCACAGGTCTTGGGCAGCTGTTTGGACAAATGTTAATAATTAAAAATAGACCTAAAATAGACTCAGCGGCCTAGAGCCTGGACCCAGGTAGTCTCTGGAAGCATGAAGAGATCTCCCTGGAAACTGATCACTTCCTGGGTAACCCATGACCAGCTGATTCTCCTGCCATGGTGCTTCGGCTTAAAACTTCTTATGAAAGAACACAGAAAGGCCCAGATGTGTTCACATGAGATCTGATTGGGGAGTTAACCTGTTTTCTCCGATCAGGAATATTTTCCTTGCGATGGATTCCTTCAGTCCTAAGAATTACATGCCAGTGTTGACAGAATGCTCATGTCAATGGGAGTGCCACTATATTTAATTAAGGTTTTTCAAGATTTAGCTTACCTCAGCAGATTATTTCTTCCATAAATAAAACAGCATGATTTTCAGAGACTCTTCTTTTACCTTAACTGATTTAATGTACACCATTAAATATCTGGACAGGAAAAGTTGCCAAGTCAAAGAAAATACTTAAGTGTTCCTGGACATAGAAATGGGAAGCAGTGATTTAGAGACGTCCGCAGGCTCGGGCCTGCAGTATGTCAGCAGCAGGTTTGTCGGCCATGATGGAAAAAATGACCAACCTGCTGATTAACCTCCACTTCAGGATCAAGTTAAAACACATCCACCCATGACATCAGAACTCTGTTTGCAGTATCTGAAACTGTATTGGGGAAACTTTTAAAAGCTTGAACCAAAATTTAGATTACAATAGTGCCCATAAATAAAGACAAGGCCAACATGGGTCACCCCCTCCACAATGGAAGAAACAAAAGGCAGATAACAAATTGGTGAATAACTCCTCAAGAATTTTCTTGCCTGACATTGAAATTTGTGCTGCCTTATAAATTTCCTTTTTAGTTTAAAGCATATATATAGGGCTTCTTTGCATGCAGTTGATGAAGAATTAAAATGGATCAAGTAGATTT